ACTGGTCTGGGCCAGCTAAACAACAATGACAACTGCAACAACAACAAAATAGCTGAGCATTGTGGCAGGCTCTTGTAGTCCCAGTTACTTGGGAGGCTGAGGCAGAGAGAATTGTGTAAGCTCAAGAGTTTGAGGTTGCTGTGAGCTATGATGCTAGGACACTCTTCCCGGAAGGACATAGTGAGACTCTTGTGTCAAAAAAAAAAAAATGAAAGAAAGCAATTAACCATTAACGTTTTTCTGAAATTGTATAATTGAACAATAATATTCTACCTGTGGGAGATCTGTTTTAGCAATTTCATATTTGTTATAATTTATACCCCAGGTTATAGTAGTATGACTAATGAAAACAGATAGATTAGTGTCTCTGCTTATCTTGGGGGATTAGACTTAAGCCTATTTTTGCAGTTTTTTGTTTGTTTGTTTGTTTGTTTTCAGCAGGGCTGGGTTTGAACCCACCACCTCTGGTATGTGGGGCCGGCGCCCTATTCCTTTGAGCCGCCTGACTTAAGCCTATTTTTGTAGACATTCTAGCCAGATCTAAAATTTTGTTCTCCTTTCTCCATCTCTTGAACAGTTATAAAGTACTTATAAAGAAATTTGGATTGGGCTCGGTGCCTGTGGCTCAAGTGGCTGGGGTGCCAGCCACGTATACCCAGGGTGGTGGGTTCGAATCCAGCCCAGGCCCACCGAACAACAATGACAGCTGCAACCAAAGAATGGCTGGGCATTGTGGCGGGCTCCTGTGGTCCCAGCTACTCGGGAGGCTGAGGCAGGAGACTTGCTTGAGCTCAGGAGTTGGAGGTTGCTGCGAGCTGTGCTGCCACGGCACTCTACCCAGGGGGACAGCTTGAGGCTCCTGTCTCTTAAAAAGAAAAAAAAAATTGGATTATTGATTGGGTACCTCCTTGCCAGTAGGGATCTCTTATTGCAGTCTAAAGCTCCATTTAAATGTATTTGGGAGGAGGACTCAGCACTGAAATTGCTCAGCAATTTTTATTAGCCCACCACCATCCTTTACTGTGTTTGAAGTGAAATCTCTTTATTTGATATTTTAGTGGGGAGATTTCAGGGTCTTCAGAATGTCTTGTAAGTCTTTGTTGTACAGGTAAAGTGATCCTAATCAGGTTTGTTTAATTGAGCTTCCTTGTGCAGTTCATTTATTGAAATAATTGTTTGTGACTTGGCGCCTGTGGCTCAAGTGGCTAAGGCAACAGCCACATACTAAGGTGGCAGTTTCAAATCCAGCCTGGGCCCGCCAGACAACAATGATGGCTGCAACCAAAAAATAGCCAGGCGTTGTGGCGGGTGCCTGTGGTCCCAGCTACTTGGGAGGCTGAGGCAGGAGACTCGCTTGAACCCAGGAGTTGGAGGTTGCTGTGAGCTGTGATGCCACAGCAGTCTACCCAGGGTGACAGCTTGAGGCTCTGTCTCCAAAAAAAAGAAAGAAAGAAAGAAATATTGTTTGTACCATTAAATATTTGCAATTAGGAAACTGTAATAGTAGTTCCTTATGATAACTTTGTTTGAGTTATAAAAAATTGTTTTTGTTTTGTTTTAGTTATAAAAAATTAGTAATTGGAATAAGTGGTTACAAGATTGATCTTAGATTCTCAAGAAGAATATTTGATTATAGGCAGATTTAAAAGTAGAGTTAACAGCAAGGAGAGAATGACTACAGTTTTAGTTATACTTGTTAGAGAACTTTAAAATATGTTTGTCCTTTTAGACTGGTAGTCTTCCTTGTCTAGGGTTTAGTGAACACAATTAATGTTTTTAGGTAGTCTTTATATCATCTGCCTGTGGTACCTAAATAATTGACCTGAAATAGATCCGTAATTATTAATACCTTGTATCTTTCTTTCTTTTTTTTCCTTTTTTTTTATTATTATTACATTAATGCAAACATGGGCCTTGTATCTTTCTTAATAGAACTTACATCCTTGTGATTACCTGTCCAATTTAGTTATAGACACATAGCTAGATTGATAAGTCTTTTTTATATCCATAGGTGTAAACCCTGGTTTTTACCTGAAGGTTTTTTATCCACAGAATTTGACAAAAGTCTGAAAATAAAAAGTAACTAAAATCTGTGAAATCTTCCTTCAGAAGCTTAGAGAACAAAGTTGTAAAATCAATTTTGTGTGTAGCCTTGTGAGTGACAATCTGACTCTGAAAGTACAAGATCTATATTTGATTCATTAACTGTGTCTGTGTGGTAGATTACTTATTAAAAAGGGCTGTTTTCTTTGATTGTCACAGCATATTCAGGGCTAAAGAATCTTTACTATTGCACTAATAATCCAGCTTGCTGATTACTACTTCTATATATATGTTTGTATTTTCAGTAGCAATTAAAATAAGTAGGAAGCAAAAATAATCAGCTACTCTGGCCTAGCTACTTAATTTAAGTCTGTTAGAACTTGTGCCTCTTTTTTGGCTCCTTTGGATAACTGGAAATCTTATTAAACTTTATTGTTTTTGGAGGGTAGGTATAGGTCTAGGTCAGTGTTACTCAAATTTACTAGTATGGTAGTAAAGAATCATAATAAGTGTTAAAAATGTAGACTCAGGCCAATTTTACACTGGTAATCCTAGTACTTTGGAGGGTGGAAGCAGAAGGATGACTTGAGCCCAGGATTTTTTTTTTTTTTTGAGACATAGCCTCAAGCTATCCCCCTGGGCAGAGTGCTGTGACATCACAGCTCACAGGAACCTCCAACTCCTGGGCTCAAGTGATCTCCCGCCACCTTAGGTGTATGTGGCTGGTGCCTTAGCTACTTGAGCCTCAGATGCCGAGCCCCAAAAAAACTTTTTATTTTTATTTTTTGAGACAATTTCCTCTTTAATTAGCTAGATTTAACCATTTCACAATGTTTGTATACTCAAAACATCATGTTGAGTATGATAAATACATATACTTATCTGTAACTTAAAAAATAAGTTTAAAAATAAATACAGTGAAACAGAAATCTTCAGAGGTTATTAAAATGATTTCTTCCATTATATTTGCTATAAGCATTATAAATACCTCAAAGCTTGTGATGAATGGCCTCTATTGGGCACATGAGAATTTTAGCATCTCTTTTTTTTGTAATTAATTATTTTTTTATTAAGTCATAACTTTGTACATTGATGCACTTATGGGGTTCAGGGTACTGCTTTGATATACAATGTGAAATGTTTACGTTGAACCAAGTAACACATCCATCACAATTACACTCATTTCTTAATAGTTTTGAAATGTACCATTGCATCATGCACATTAAGTGAGGTCTCCCCAAATACCCTCCCTTCTCCCATATCTCCTCTCTCTACCCCTCTCTCTTCTCTTCCCTTCTACTTTATGAACTATAGTTATGTTTTGCCATTCATATGATTGTGTAGGTGGTTAAAAGAACTTTTTACTTATTAACTTTCCCACTAGCAACGTGAATGTCAATCTCATAGCTTTAATCAGTGTAGTATAGTAACATGAGCAAAAATACATAGGTATATTAATTTTAATTTAATCCTTATTTTAATTTACATTTCTAGGTAGGTTGATCTCTTTTTGTTTTGTTCATTAGATTCTTTAAGAAGTGTTTTGTGTCCATTTATCTACTAGTGTTTTAGGGACAATCTAAGCTGACAAAGTTAACAAAATCCCTTTGGGAGAATAAATAGACAAGTAACAGTGGTAAATTTGATAAGGTCTACCAAAAATTAAACATTATGTAAGACTTTACTAACAGACTTAGATTCAGAATTAAGATATAATTAAGATATAAGATAAAGCAAAAGGTCACCAGAAATTAACCATTAAATGATGAAGAGAATGGTGTTGGATTTATGGATTTTCCTCACACCATTCAATTTAGTATACTACAGACTATAATTAGATATTAAAAAATAAAAGGAATATTTCTCAATAAGTAAGGAATCATCTAAGTTTAGTAGCAAATATAAATATTACCAAGGAAAATATAAAAGATTGTGCCATGTAAAGATTTAACTTCTGGAATTTAATAGCAGCTCATAACTGAAATATAAAATACTGGCCAGGCATGCTGGCTCATGCCTGTAATCCTAGCACTCTGGGAGGCTCAGGTGGGTGGATTATCAGAGTTCAGGAGTTCCAGACCAACCTGAGCAAGAGCAAGACCCCAGTGTGTACTAAAAATAGACGGGAAAAAACCTAGCCTGTCATTGTGGTAGGCACCTGTAGTCCCAGCTACTCAGGAGAATGAGGTAAGAGGATTGCTTGAGGTTGCTATGAGGTGTGATGATGCCACGGCTCTCTCCCCAGGGTGCAAGAATGAGACTTTTGTCTCCATTAAAAAAAAAAAAAAAACATTAGGCATAGAGGTGCATGTATATAGTCTCAACTCCTCAGGAGGGTTGAGGTGGGAGGATTGCTTGAGCCCAGGAGTTGGAAGCTGCAGTGAGCTGTGATAATGCCACCACACTCTAGCCCAAATAACAGAGCAAGACCCTGTCTCTAAAGGAAAATTAGATTCATGCTCTGCTAGAGATGTTCATACTATGCTGTGTATATTTTTGTTTTTAATTGTAGAAGGCAGTAGGGCATCTTTGCTAATTGCAGAGGTTTTGGGTCCCCAACCCAGGGCTGAGTGTGCATTAGAGCAAGTTAATGAATATTTTCAAGCATCAGTTTTGTGGAAAAGTGGAAATAATTATAACTCCTAGGATATTAAAAATTACTAAACAAGATAAGTCCATGTCAGGTTCCTAGCCCATAATGAATATTGAGTGAGTACTTTTTTATTTTGGTCTTACTAGAGTTATGTTTTCTCAGATTTATTTTCTTTGATTAATATTTGAAACCTTTCCCAACCAGATTCAGAAAATTTTTCCAATTTGATATGTAATTGACAACCTAAAACTTAGTGCATGCATTTCTGGTTGTGTCAAGGTAATGCAAATGTGGCACTTTTCAACACATATTGTAGTCATTTCATACTGAAAATTTTATAGCTAATTTCTTCCTTTGATTACAGTGCCCATATAACTCCCATCAGCATGTTACCAGCCTCTGCAGAGTAAGTAGTATACTTGTAGAAGACACATTTATAAAATTCGAAATATTACTAAGCTATAGAAATGAAAATCGTGTATTGTATTTACTTTAGAGGAAAGATTGTACATAGGTGGTAAATTAGTATTTCATATACTGTAGGAACATGAAAGAATCCATTGCCCTATTATACAAAATAAAGATGAGCTTTCTTTAGATGATTTTTTTATCCTTTGAAGTAATTGAAAAATGTTGAGAGAGCTTTACATTTTCTTTATAGACATCACATAAAAAATATGAACAGTACTCATAGTTTCTTTTATTTAGCTGAGTATTGATAAATACTTTGCTTTATAAATGAAGTTTTGAAAAGTTTTAACTATTTAAATGGCCTTCTATATAGTGAGGAATGAATTATTGGGACAGTTGTTCTCACCCCATGAGACATGATTGTGACATTATGGTTGATTTGTATAGGTTCATCTGTGTGGATAGATTTCACTTTAAAATTTAAGCTAGTATCATGTATTTCTTTTTACACTTTGGTTTACTCATTTAAATGCCATAATGATTTGTTTTACTGGTATAGATTTCAACATTTGTGTTTATGTGGCCTATCTAGGTAGAGTGACTCTTTCTCACTATAATGTGTTCTGTTATGTAGCATTTTAGAAAGAACAATTAGAGCAGCTGTGGAACAGCACCTTTTTGATCTGCAGAGCAGCATAGATCATGATCTTAAGAATTTACAGCAGCAAAGTCTGGTGTGTAATAATGAAGCAGAAAGTATTAATTGTGATGGGGAAGGATCTAATAACCAGTAAGAACCATTTTACTGTTATTTGTTGTTTGTTACAAAACGGTCTTGTTACTTAAAAAATTTTTTTATTTAAATAATGGGGTTTTGTCTATCTTGGGGATTGCTGAAAGTCACAGTGTAGAAAGTGACTTTGTGTCTATTTGTATGTAAATGATGGAGTCTTGTCTGTCTTGGGGATTGCTGAAAGTCATTGTGCAAAGTGACTTTGTGTATATTTGTATGTGCATCCATGACATCAAAAATGTCATAACTTTTTCATAAAGCATCTTTTATTAGGTCCAATACAGCCAGGTTTTCCTTCTTGAACACTAAATGAAGTAATAAGTTTACCTTTGTGGATTATGTTGTATGAAAAGTAATTTTTTAAAATTAGATTCATACTCTATGCAAGAGATGGTCACACTGTGAGGGGCGGGCGTGTAATGGTCTGGACAGATAGATATGTGTATGTGAGAGCAGGTTTACATCACTCTAATGCATGTGGTCATTGAGTGAAATGGTGGGCAGAATCATCTTTTGCTATTGTGACCCCCTGCCCACCAGCCTCTCCCTTCCCCACGTTTTGTTAGGTTTGTTATTAATACAGGTTGAACATCTCTAATCTGAAAATTCAAGGCTTTTTGAGTACTAACATGATACTCAGAAGAAATGCTCATTGGAGCATTTTAAATTTGGGGTTTTCAGATTAGGGATGCTCATCTGGCAAGTATAATGCAAATATTCCAAAATCTGAAAAAAATCTGAAACACTTCTGGTTCCAAGCATTTCAGATAAGGGATAGTCAACCTGTAGTTGAATTTGTGTAAGTTTAAAAGTACCTGTAATTAATGTGTAATGTTACTTTGCTTTAAATGGAGGAAAGCCTCACTTTCTTTCCTGTTACCCCAGCCCTGTAGTTCAGGATATGTATGTGCCTCTTTCAGAGACCACATGGTAATGATTTCATATGTCAGTTTTTTGGGGGGGACTGATTAGAAGGATGTATTGAAATTTGGAAGATTCGGCTCGGCGCCTGTGGCTTAAGCGGCTAAGGTGCCAGCCACATACACCTAAGGTGGCGGGTTCGAATTCCCAGCCTGGGCCCACCAAAGAACAATGATGGCTGCATCCAAAAAATGGCCGGGCGTTGTGGCAGGCGCCT